AGTAGCTTTTCTATAAACCAAAAATGAACAGGCTGAGAAAGAAATCAGGAAAATAATCCCATTTACAATAGCCTCAAAAAAATACCTTGGAATTAACTAAAGACGTGAAAACTATAATGAATAGTATAAAACCTCAAAGAATTAAAGAAGACACTAGAAGACGACCAGATCTCCTATATTCATATACCCTCAAAATTAGTATTATGAAAATGGCTATACTACCAAAAGCAATATACAGATTCAATGCAATTTGAATCAAAATCCCAATATTATTCTTGACAAAAATAGGAAAATCAATCCTAATATTCATATGGAAACATAAGAGACCCTGAATTAACAAATCTAATACTCAGCAAAAAGCAATACTAGAGATAACATGTACCTGACTTCAAACAGAGCAGAGTAAGAAAAACAGCATGGTACTGGTACATAAAAACAAATATGTGTATCAATAGAATAAAATGGAAGACCCAGAAATAAACTCACACAGCACAGACATCTGATTTTTGACAAAGGAGCCAGAAACATACTCTGAGGAAGAAATAGCTTCTTCAACAAATGATGTTGGGAAAACTGGATATCCACATTTAGAAGACTGAAACTAGACCCATCTCATGCTGTATAAAAATCAATTCAAAACTTATCAACAGAGATGGCAGAGTGGCTCAAGTGGTAGAGCACCTGCCTAGCAAGTGTGAGGACCTGGGTTCAAACCCCAGTACCACCAAAAAAAAAAAAAAAGGATCAATAATCTTAACATAAAACTTTGAAACTCGGGAAAACACTTGAAGACATGGGCATAGGCAGTTTTTTTTTAATAGAATTATGATTGCCCGAGAAATAAGAGCAAGAATTGACAAATGAGATTGCAGCAAATTAAAAAACTTCTGTGTTTTAAAAGGAAGTAATTACTAGAATGAAGAGATAACTCACAGAATGGTAGAAAATCTTTGCCAGGTAATCAATAAATACAGGATTAATATCTAGAATATATAAAGGGTTCAAAAAATTAAGGACCAAAAGGACAAATAACCCTATTAATAATGGGTAAATGAGTTGGACAGTTCTCAGAAGAAGTACCTAAGCTGAAAATACTTGAAGAAATGTTCAATATCATTTGTCATGAAAGGAATGCAAATCAAAACTACACTGAGAGTCTATCTCACCCTAGTCAAAATGGTGATCATTAAGAAAACAAAAAAGCAACAAATGCTGGCAAGGATGTGAGGAAAAGGAACCCTCATGCCTTGCTAGTGGGAATGTAAATTAGTATAGTCACTAAGGAAATTGGTATTGAAGTTCTTCAAAAAACCAAAAGTAGACTTACCATATGACCAGTTATACCACTAGTGGGTGTATAGTACAAATAAACCAAAGTAGCATATAATAGATATACTTGCATAACCATTTAAAAAATTTTTATCAATAATAGTACAAGGGAGTTGCACTGTGATAATTTCATAGATGTATACAGTGTACTTATGATAATATCATAGATGTATACAGTGTACTTTGAATAAATTCACCTCCTCCATTATACTCCCTTAGCCTGCCCTGCTCCCCTCCTCCCAATTATTATTGAAACTTTTTTTTGCAATACTTTGGCTTGAACTCAGGACCCTGAGCTTACTAGGCAAGCACTCTACCACTTCAGCATACCCTCATACCCATGTTTGCTTGGAACTACTCACCATAGCTAACTTATAGAATCAGCTTGGATGCTTGTCATGAAAAACTGGTTGAAGAAAATTGGTTTTATATATATATACATATATATGTATGTATATATATGTCCATAAAGAATAATGAAATGTTATAAACTTATAATATGAAAATAGATAAAATGGGAGATTATGTTAAACAAAAAAAGCCAGGCTCAGAAAGATAAGTGTTGCATGATTTCTCTATGGGAATTTAGGTTGAAAAGAGACATAATGTAGAAGGGGACTATTGGAGAAGAAGGAGGGAGTTGAGGGAGTGGGAATAAGGGGATAAGAGAGGAAAACTGAAGGTGAATATGATCAAAGTACATTATATGCATACATGGAAATGCCACAATGAAACTCATTATTTTGTACAATTAAGATACACCAGTAAAAAATATATAAAAGGCAAAAGTGAAAATGAATGAAAAATGGAACAACATATATGACAATTATGGGGCTGTGGTAAAAGAGGTAAGATACATGCAAAGGGTTAACAAAAGGAGAAGAAAGGGAGAAAAAAAGGTAAAAGAAATATTTGAAAAATGAATGGCCAAAAACTTTTCAAAATGAATGATGACCTGGAACCTAAAACTCAGAGAATACAAACCAGATAAAGTTTGAAATATGTATACCTGAGCATATCATTTTCAAACCATAGAAAATCAAAGACAAAGTCTTGAAAAAAAGCCCAAGAGGAGGGGAACTCACCTAACCTATAGAGGAACAAGGATATAAGTTACTCTGGACTTTGTGCCAGAAACCATTTGAAAAGAAAATGAAATGAAAAATTTGAAGCACTGGAAGGATAAAAAACTAGAATTTTTGTATCTAGCAAAATAATGCTTTAAACTGAAAAATAAATACTTGCTCAGACAAACATAAACTGGAGGAGTTTGTTGCCAGCAGAACTACCTGGCAATATATGTAAATAGAGGTTCTTTAGAGAGGAGGAAAATTATATAGGTAAGAAACTTGGGGACTGGAGATGTAGCTCAGTGGTAGAATACATGCTTACTATGCACCAATTCCTGTGTTCAATCACCAGTAGTACAAAAAGAAAAAATACTTGGATCTGTGTAAAGGAAGAGCATCAGAAGAGGAATAATTTTTTTCTTTTTTTTCATTGTTGTGCTAGGTGGGGGTACATTGTAGCATGTACAAACGTTCTTACAATGTAAGAATAAATATTTTTAGAGTGAAATATTTTATTTCTCTTATTCTTAATAGATTTGATACGTAACTATTTTTTTCAGAGTAACAGCAGCAACAATGTATTGGTGATTATAGAATATGGGGAAGTGAAGTTAATGGTAAGGGATAGGACGACTTGGAAACACTCTGTTACCCCACCAGTGTTCAGCATTGTTATCTGAAACTAGACTTGGCTTATTTGTAAATGCATATTGCAAGAACTACCACAACCACTAAAAATTTTTTTATAGAAGTATAACTGATATTGTAAGAGAGAAGAGAAAATGGAATCATGGAAAATGCTCAATTAAAAGACCCAAACTACCAAAACTCACACAAGGAGAATTTAATATTCTCAATAGTAAATATAACCAACAATTACAACCTTCCAAAAATCAAAGCACCAATCCCAGATGGGTTGGTTCATTAATGAATTTTACCAATCATTTGTGGAAAAAAATATACAAATTACCTCTTCCAGAAAATATAAGCAGAAATAACATTTCCTGACTCATTCTCTAAGGCCAAAAACACTCTAATATCAAAACCAGATGAAGACATCATTAAAAAGGAAAACTTTATGCCAATATCTTTCACGAACATAGCTGTGAAGATCCTCAAAACAAGATATTAGCAAATAAAATCCAAGTATGTCTAAAAAATTGCACACAAATATGATTTATTCCAGGTGTGCAAAGCTGGTTCAACATTTGAAAATGCAACCTATCATATCAACAGGCTAAAGAATAAAAATCATATGACGATAACTATAGAAAAAGCATTTGACAAAACCCAATACTCAGTCTTGATTTTAAAATAATAAACAAATATTTCAGCCAGGCACTGGTGGCTCACACCTGTAATGCTAGCTACTCAGGAGGCAGAGATCAGGAAGATCGAAATTCCAAGCCAGCCTGGGTAAAATAGTTTGTGAGACCCTATCTCAAAAAAAAATCATAAAAAAGGGCTGATGGAGTGGCTCAAGGTGTAGGCCCTGAGTTCAAACCCCAGTACCACCAAAAAAAAAAAAAAAAAAAAAAATCATGGCAACTTTGGAATAGAAGGAAACTTTCTCAACTTGATTTTTAAAAAAAATCTACATAAAGTCTAAGTTCAGGTTAATGAGGTGTTATGTGAATTTTATCTCAATAAAAATTTAAATACTAACAATACTCACTTTTAGATTGTAAACATTGGGTTTTAGTAATCTTTAGAAACCAAGCTAATTATGGTTGCAAATAAGTAGCCTTTAGGTATACACACAACTAAAAGCCCGTGGACATGTACATCATACTCCAAAGAGAACGCGAAAGAGGGCCCACATTCTGGAATCTGTTGGCAGCATTAGGAGGCCCTGCGTGGCCTATCAGTAGGTAATGGACCACATTTGAGAATACCTGATTAATTACCTCCCAGAAACCCGACCCAACAGCAGTGGATAGGTACAACAGCAGGGCACAGGGCATGAAACCCAGAGCGTGAGAACTCAATAAGCTTGAAGGGTATGACATAGGCATGATGGTTCTGCTAGTATGAAACGAGAAGGGGAGAGTGGGCAGCCTATTTTCTGCTCAGGTTAAGTAAAAGTGACCATCTTGCTAGCAGGAGTTGATCACTATACTTTGTGTTTGTACATTATCATTAAAAATAAGTCTGTGGGCTGGCAAAGTGGCTCAAGAAGTAGAGTACCTGCCTAGCAAGTGTGAGGCCCTGTACCCAGAACTGCCAACAAACAAACAAACAAAAAATAAGTCTGAAATATGGTGCATGCATGTAATTCCAGAAATTGAAAGGACAAGGCAGGAGGATATGAGTCAGCCTGGGCTACATAGCAAGTTCCAGGCCAGCCTGGGCTACACTATAGAGAGGCTTTGTATTAAAAAAAAAAAAAAAAAAGTAAATCTGAAATGCAAGTCTAATCATTTGCTGACTGACCACTGGGTTTCAATCTGGAAACAAAGTCATGGACTCAACCATTTTCCTAACCCCCAAGCCTCTGCTGCTTCTTCTGAAGCAGAGTTGAGGCAAGGCTGCAAAGAATAATCTTTGAGCCTCTGTCATACTTTTCCACCTTCTAGGAAGAACCTATCCACCATAGCTTACCTTGACAAGGTGCCTCTGGAGTACACATGCTCCCTTCCCCACCAATGACATAAATTCCTGTAGGGCTGATCCAATAATTTGAAACTCCAAGTGGAACTCCCTGAGCAGCTGAAAAGATAAATTTGGCATAATCGGAATTATTTCAATTCTTTTAAGTCAGATATATAGCAGCTGTGAGCTGAATAACTGAGTATTAACCTACCACTTTACACGTGTATCCAACAATGTTTCTGTGATACAAGATAAAAAAATACACATCAAAGTCACGTGTGGCACTCCCAGTACTCAAGAGGCTCAGGTAGGAGGATCCTAAGCTCAGGGCCAACCTGGGCTACATAGTGAGTTCCAGGCTATCCTGGACTACATAGCAAGACCCTGCCTCAAAAAAGAAAGACAAGAAGAAATAAAGGGAGAGAGGGAAAGAGAAGGGAAAAAAGAAAGGAAGGAGGGAGGGAAGGAAGGAAGGAAGAAAGGAAGGAAGGAAGGAAGGAAGAATGGATCTCTTGTCCTAGACTGCATACTTCTTGAGGGCAGAAATTGTGTCTCATTGCCTGTAGTTATTCAGGGCCTTGCACAGCACCTATTATGATATATATTCAGGGGAAAAAAAGACTTACAAGTGAAGATTCTATCAAGATGGCCAGATATATCCATTAAAGACCAATGTAAGGGCAGTGTGATAGAGAAGAAAGCACTTCTGTCTGTCTCCCTCAGCATCTTTCTTGTAAGAACACTTGTGGTGACATTTAGGGCCCATCAAGGTAATCCAGAGTAATCTCACCATCTCATTATCCTCAAATTAATTATAAGTATGAAAGAACCTTTTAACAAATAGGGTGTCATTTACATATTCCAAGGATTAGGATATGGATATATCTTTGGGATCCATTATCAATCTATCACATTAAGTTCTGGTCTATGTCTTGTGATCAGAGTAATGCATACAACCTCCAGGCCTGGCCCATGAAAACTTCCCAGATGAGGTCTTTACTCTCTTCCCCTCTTTGCCAGCTGTCAAAAGAGGCTGTGGAAGCCACATGTTAAAGAGTTCTCTCTTGTCCTTGCTAACTAACCTTTATATAAGCAGTAATATCTAGGTCTTAAGTGTTGATAATTTGGGTTTATCTGTTTCAGTGCCTACCAACAGTTATCCTAGAAATTCACTATGAAGTCACCTTCCTTACTCAATTGCCTTCCTTTTCAATATTCTAATAGTGACCTTTACAGTACTTCTCACAACAAGTAATTATTTTAGTTACTTACATGTTTGCCAATTTTTATATGACTAAACTATAAACTCAATAAAGGCAATGACTATAGTATCTTGTTCACTGTTACATTCCCATTGTCTCATCTAGGATTTTGTACAGAATAGGTATTTAATATATATCCGTGTCAAAAACATGAATCCAAGAGCCCTGACATACCAGCTCTGCAGAGGGGAAGGAAATCTTTCCTAATCCCAGAATTAGATCATGAAGAATGGTTGGTAGTTAACTCGAGAGCCTTGAGGAAGTCTATCTCACAAATCTTGATTCTTGGAGTAGGAAGGGTATATTCCAATACCTAAGTCACCTAATCAGACCTGGAACACTTCCAGACATTGAGCCTGTTGGAATGCCAAAAAACACTGAAAACAATGCAAATATGGCTACCCCAGATGAATAAGTGAGAGAAAACAACACGCAAAACTGCCGAGCCCCAATACTCTTCCCACCAATGTCCAGCCCCTCCTCCTATCCTTCCTTCCAGCCATGCTACCTAATGCCCACTCCTTCCAACCTCCCCCTTTCCTGCCATGCTTAAAAACCCCAGCCTGTTAGAAAAACATGCTCTCATCCCTCTCAGAGCACTACTCTGACAGCCAAGGGTCCCTCTCAGGTCTTTCTTCCCAAATAAAGGCCTGCTGCTTGTGAAGGTCGCAGATTCTTTCCCAGGCTGTCTCTCCTTTTCTTCCTTTCCTGAATGCCTCAGTTTTCCCTCATTTTTCCTTTCACTTGGTGCCGAAACCCGGGAGAGATGTTCCAGCGGGGGGAATGCCCTTCTTGGGCTACTGTGATTCTGTGGCGATTCTCGTATGGTCTATGGTGCAGCCCTTTGGGGTGTCTTGTCTGGGCTTCATATGGATGTACTACAGTTAAGAGGCGCCTAAGTTCCCACAAGGGACATGGCCAGTGCTCACCTTCATCCCCAAACCGTCCAACCTCTCTTCGAATCTCTCTCTCTCTCTCTCTTCCATTTTCTCTCTCTCTCTCCTCACTGTTCTCTTCATGATCCTGAAACTATTATATTTTCTGCTGAGCCTCCTCATTATACTGACAATTGTTTTGGGTGTGGGGTTAGGCACAACCACTCCTTCTGATTGGACTCAGGGCCCAAAAAACATTATTGGTAGCGTGGCTATCTAATAGCCACACTGCTCTGGAGCCTGACCTTCTAGTCATACCTACAACCCTGACATAAATAAATAAATAAAATAATCCTAACAAACCTCCTTTCTGCCTGACTTCCCTTTCCTCTGCAACCTCCTGCTGGCCCTTCACCAATTCCACTTCGCATACTCCAGTTTCTACAGGGACAGGTAAGACCTGGCCTTTCTGTCTGGCACCCTGTGGTGCCTCAGTGTGCTGGCCTCTGACCATTCTCGCCTTCAGTATCCCTATTCCTCTCTCTCTCCCTCCCATATCTGGGCCATTTGGCCTAAGCAAGTCTAGCCCCTGGATACATAGGCCAGAGACATCTGCCTACCACCCCAGGTTCATTCTTTGATTTTGCAAGTTTTCTCCAGGGATGTCTTAGGGAAAACTTCCTAACCTCAGTCATGGGTAATACCCACTCAAAGATTCCCTCTGACTCACCACTAGGGTGCCTTTTACTCAACCTTACTAAACTGGGCCTAAAGGGTGATCTGAGATCAAAAAACCTCATGCATTTTTCTACAGAAATTTGGCCTCAATGCAAATTGGATACTTTCTCTAAGTAGCCTGAATTTGGAACTTTTGATCTCAATGTCCTCAGAGACCTTGACAACTTTATCATAAGAAACGGCAAATGGCAATGGGTTTCTTATCTCCAGGCTTTCTTTTACCTCAGATGCCAACCCTCCCTTTGTTCTAACTCCTGCTCCTTTCAAATCCTTCTTGACTCATCCTTCTCTGTCAGCACCCAACCCCCTTCTGTCAGCCTTTGACTCAGACCCTGCTGACCATCCTCCCCCTTACTGGTCACCCCCTCTCCCCAGCCCTACTTCTTCAGACTCCCCCTCCTCCACAGAGGCCCCTCCCCTTCCTCTCCAAAAGGTCCCTCTCCTACCTGGAAGATCCCTCCCCAAGCCCAGCCTCTTCCCTTCCCTGTCCCCTCCCACACCCACGCATGCATTCACTCACATCTGCATAGGCCTGCCCACTCCCACCCGATTCTCATTCTTCCCCTACAAGAGGTGGTGGGAGAAGAAGGGATGATTAGGGTCCATGTCCCTTTTTCTATGATAGACATGTCCCAAACTGAACAATAATTAGGCTCCTTTTTGGATAATCCAACAAGGTATCATAAGGAATTCCTATGAATTTCTTGGGTCTATGCACTTATGTTGGGTGATATTTATAACATCATAAATGACACCCTCACAGAGGATGAAAAGGAGAGAATATGGAAGCAGTGGAACAGCATGTTGACCAATTCCACGAACAACATCCTAATAGACACCTCCCTGCCACTGAGGCAGAGGCTAGAACCAAGCCTCATTGGACCTACCAAGATGAGGACCCAGGATCAGACTCCCAGGATCATATGATTTCCTGTCTATTAGCAGACATGGACAAAAATGGTCATAAACAGGTTAACTATGACAAAATTAAAGAGGTCACACAGGATCTAGACGAAAATCCCACCCTCTTTCTTTTTTTTTATTTATTTATTTTTTCCTTTTTCTTTTATTATTCATAAGTGCATACAAGGCTTGGGTCATTTCTCCCCCCTGCCCCCACCCCCTCCCTTACCACCCACTCCGCCCCCTCCCTCTCCACCCCCCTCAATACCCAGCAGAAACTATTCTGCCCTTATTTCTAATTTTGCTGTAGAGAGAGTATAAGCAATAATAGGAAGGAACAAGGGTTTTTGCTGGTTGAGATAAGGATAGCTATACAGGGCGTTGACTCACATTGATTTCCTGTGCGTGGGTGTTACCTTCTAGGTTAATTCTTTTTGATCTAACCTTTTCTCTAGTACCTGTTCCCCTTTTCCTATTGGCCTCAGTTGCTTTTAAGGTATCTGCTTTAGTTTCTCTGCGTTGAGGGCAACAAATGCTAGCTAATTTTTTAGGTGTCTTACCTATCCTCACCCCTCCCTTTTGTGCTCTCGCTTTTATCATGTGCTCAAAGTCCAATCCCCTTGTTGTGTTTACCCTTGATCTTATGTCCACATATGAGGGAGAACATACGATTTTTGGTCTTTGGGGCCAGGCTAACCTCACTCAGAATGATGTTCTCCAATTCCATCCATTTACCAGCGAATGATAACATTTGGTTCTTCTTCATGGCTGCATAGAATTCCATTGTGTATAGATACCACATTTTCTTAATCCATTCGTCAGTGGTGGGGCATCTTTGCTGTTTCCATAACTTGGCTATTGTGAATAGTGCAGCAATAAACACGGGTGTGCAGGTGCCTCTGGAGTAACAGTCTTTTGGGTATATCCCCAAGAGTGGTATTACTGGATCAAATGGTAGATCGATGTCTAGCTTTTTAAGTAGCCTCCAAATTTTTTTCCAGAGTGGTTGTACCAGTCTACATTCCCACCAACAGTGTAAGAGGGTTCCTTTTTCCCCGCATCCTCGCCAACACCTGTTGTTGCCCACCCTCTTTCTTAACCGCTTAATGGAGGCAATGACCAAATACACCAATTTAAACCCAGCCTCCCAAGAGGGTCATATTTTCTTACAGCTCCACTTCATCAGCCAGTCAGTCCCAGACATCCGAAAAAAACTGCAAAAACGTGAGGAGGGCCCCCAAACCCCCCAACAAATCTTGGTTAATACGGTCTTTAAGGTCTTCAACAACAGGGACAAGGAGGCTAAACAACTAAAGGATAAAAATACCCACACAAAATA